AAAAATGTTATTCATTTTTTGCCAGGCAATTCATTATGGTGTCACAAGATTACTCAATTAATATTTTGCTGAAGCGTCACATATATATTTAATGAAGTAAAAAAAAATGCAACTGCTTGGAACCGAAACCGAAAATGGACTGGAGAAGGAGGAGAAATATAGAGGAGGAGAAAGATACCAGAAGTCACGAGGCCGTGCAACTTTTTTTTTCAATCAACGTGTTTGTGGCTTTCTAGAAGCCACAAGAAATGAGTTTTATGTTTTTTTTTTTCTATTTTTAATGTTGCCACCATCGCTTAGTCCGCTTCGTTCAGCCGTCCGGGCCGGGACTACTGCTATATGACGCCATGTAGAGAATCACACAGAGAATGCACAGAGTCCTTCTCTTTATGCAACCTTTTTAATCAACGTACTTGCACCATTTTAAAAGCCACAAAAAATGAGTATCATATTTTGTTTTTCCATTTTTAATATTGAGTGTGTGCCTTGGATGACCCCCAACTTTAATAACCTATCTATATTTGGTGTGTGTGTCTAAACCATAGAAAATGGCGCAGGTCCACGGAGAAGAAAGTGAGCGCGACACAACCCGGCCAGTTCTCGATCAAAGGTTTTCGGGCGGGAAGAAAACGAATTTCGAGCTGAAAATTCTGTTCTGGTTTGTTAGGCTCTCATCTGTGATGTACAAACAAAATCCTAAGTGGGTTCTCAAAAAATATTTTTTGTTTATTGATAATGATGTTTTGCACAGGCATGCAGTTTACTTTGATGATTTCGTAACTGCAATCAGATTTCAGATATATCTCCTCTCTCAAAAGTTATCAACAAAATAAAATATTAATTAGCTAATTTCAAGAGGGGTTTTAAAAAACATTAAAATTTTAATGAAAAAAAGGCATCAATTGCTTCCTAAAGAAATGGCATACAAGCTAAAGTTATTTTTATTTATTTAGCACCATATAATCATGTAAAAAAATTAAAGTGAACAGAAGACATACAATAGAGACTATAAAAATGTCTAATAATGAAATGCCAGTTCTATATACCAAACAATATCATAATAAAAATAGCTTTAGCTCGCAGTCTAGTTCATTCCAAAGAAAATAGTACCAAATTTATGAAAATTGATTGAGCGCAAGTGAGTCAAAAAGCCTACCAGGCCGGAGAATATGCTGAAAAAGGCTCGTGGCACACCTAAGCACTTCTAATGAGTTGTGAATGTGAAAGCATGAATGCCGTTCTTGTGCGCATCCTTGCGAAGTGGCTGCGCTGCGCTGACATCGACCATGCCACCGCGCTCCAGAGCGGCGGCATGGCCAATTCTTTTCCTGCGCGCTGGCGGTCTGCCTGAGAGCACCAGCCAATTCCTTGTATCGGCGCGCTGTCGGCGCAGACACGCAGCGCCATGGGGTGGCCCTCCTTGAAACTGATGCGCAGCGGCCAATGCGAGCCTCGTTCCTTGAAACTATGGCGTGTGCCAGCCAATGGGACTGAAGCCGAAATCCATCAGATTTCGGCTTCACTGCAATCTATTGGGAGCGGAGAAACCAGGTGCTGTTTGGCTAGGCTTTTTGCGTGACTTCAAAGTTGGGAGCCATCAGATCACGGCTTCACTTAGAGAAAAGGGTTTAGGTGCCATTTGGCACAGCTTCAAAGCTGATGGCGTCGGCTCGCTCCATGAGACCCAGTTTATGCTTTCGCATTAAAAAAAAAAGCTGAGAAAATAAACTTCGAAATCTGGGTATGCACAAGTAACAACGTTGAAGCTTTAGATGGGTGGAATGCCTTTGGTTTGAATTTTATGCTAAGGGAGAGACATGGGTAGGAAAAGCAGCCCCATGAAACAACTGGTTAGCCCTAAAAAGGGCTTTTCTAGGGGGAGTCTTCAAAAACACCAGCTTGTGAATGGGCGCACCTGACTCTCAGAGGAGCCCGGGACTGCAATCCTGGTCTGTGCACGCCTTGTGCCTTGCAGAGAGCCTCTTCATGCTGTCAGCATCTGAGAACTCTTTGTTGACCTTCTGCAGCCTCCGACTGATTTTCTCGATGCTCCTCTTGACGAGGGCAGTGCCAGCCGTTTAGTCCAGGCTGCTAGCCGCACTCTCATTCGTCTTCCTCACTCCCTGGTTGAAGATGCTCGCAGCTTCAGCAACAGCCCCCTCTACTCTGTACAGTGACGTGTGGGAGTTCTTCGAGATCTGCGCCCAGATGACAAAGTGCAGGCTTGCATTTGGGTTCTGTGTCTTGCCATCATTGCACCGCCGGAGCAAGTCCTTGTGGCTGAGTCTAGAAAACACTGGTTCCAGTGCTTCTCGAAAAAAGCCTGTGAGGGCGTTCTTGAGGCCACGAGGCTGCTCGTTGTTGGCAACTGCTCTGTTGTAAGAACACCATGAACTGGCTCCCTCAGGGCAGAGGCCGTGGTCGGGAGACTCATCAGTGGATGACATGCGGCGAAGGGTGGCTTGCAGAGCTTCCTACATTGCAGGAACTTTGTGGCTGTGACTCAGAAGGGCATAACCATAGTAGTTGGTTATCTTCTTTATCTTTTCTTGTATAAGCCTGCCCTTTCCCCTGAGCAGTTCGCCTTGAGACTTCTTTTTGTCGTCAAGCGTCCGCAAAGCTGATTTCATCCGCTTGCAGACGTGGTTGGGGCAGTCCTTTTCAATTTCCACGAACCCGTAGACAGCTTCATCTGTCAGGGCATGATGCATCCTGCTGTCTCCGTCAAAGAGGACCACCATGTAGCGCAGAATGTGCTTCTCGAATAACCTCCTGAACATGATGAGTGCTGCCTCCACCTCCATTTGCCTAGACTTGCAGTCTATGTCCTCTTTGCAGTCTGGCTTGTGTTAAGCAAACCACATACTGTAGCCATCCTCTTCGGGCTTTGGGCCGAGTGAACATTCCAAGCAGAGGTTGCACAGGATGATGTGGTCGATCACCACGCCGCTGTACAGCTCCACGATGCAGCACACACCAATGTGAGACGTGCAACCCCGCGTCTTCCAGGTGCCACCATACATGATGTCAATGTTGTTGGGAAGGTTGAGAAAATCTGCATAAAGGGCCCTCACAGCTTCAGCACTTTCTGCTTCACAGGCTGCTGCTGACAGCTCGCAGGTATCACTGTCGGCAAGTGGTGCTGCTCGCAGGCTTGCATCACTGTCGGCAAGTGGTGCTGGATGGTCTTACAGTGAAGGCCTCTGTGAAAAAGGTGCAAGGCTGCACAGAAGTCGAAGAGTGCAGTGGACCCTTTCCCAATGGACTGGATTCCCTTCACAACTCTCATGTTGAGCTCAAAAGGCTTAATCCACGCCTCCCCTTGAGTTCTGACCGACGAAAAATGCTTCTCGCAGAAGCCGCATGACCGACACGCCAGCACCAACTTCACAGCCAGCCCGTACTCCTTCTCCTTGACTTTCTCGAGCAAAGGCGTGGCCAATCCACACTGCCCATATTTGGTGGTCGCGAAGAACATGTTCAACATGTTCAAATCCTTTGATCACGACCTGTGTGCCGGAATGTGTCTCTTCATCCTCGACAGTGACATTGAGGAGGTCAAACTTCCGTTGTGTGGCAGACTTTGCGGCCAAATCGTGCTTCAACTCGTCAGCCCGCACCGCACGTTGAGCAGTTTCGCTTGCCGTGTAGAAATGCGAGTCGAGTCGTGACGCACCAGGGCCGAAGCCTTCGTCTTCTTCATGCTTACATCAGGGGCGGGCACCTCGGAAGACGATGCAGCTGCTGGTAGCTGAACTTGCAGCATGCCCGCCGCAAGTAACGTGGCTGGCAATGCGAGCGAAGTCCTCTTGTTCCATGCCCGACGCTTCCACTTGCCGTACACACGCTGCGTTGAAACTTTCGCGCTAGGCGTCGCAATCACTACCCGTGTCTCCTAAAGACGTGAAGCTAAACGAAGCGGGCGAACACCGAAAAATAATGTGCTTGAAGTCAAAACGCAACCACTTGCAGATGACAAACAACGATTTTGGCTGCTCCCGGCCCCTGTTGCGCCACGAGAAAGGGGAGGAGGGAGAGGAGAATGACATATTTCACGAGAGGAGGCATGCACTTCAGCCAATATCGATAGCGCTCTCTGCGGCCCATGTTGCTTAGCCAATCGGTAGCTCGGTTTCTTTCTCTGGGAAAACGCGGTATTCTGCGCTTTCCTCGGGTAGATGCCATTTTTAATGGCACCAAAAATGTAGACAAAGAAGCAAGCTTTCGGACGAGACCAAAGTAGCCGCAAATGGGCACGCACCGGCGGAGCGCAGAGAGCGCGCATTTCGATGTCTGTATTCTGTTTCGGGAAGAATTTGGACGTGTTCTTCGCAACATAATTATAATTCTTTTTATACTTTGAGTTTGAATTACGCTAAAATATTTTGAAGAGAGGTCCTTGGATCTGTAAGGCACCCAAATATGGTATTTTCGAAAAATTAACTTTTATGAAAATCTGATTCGCAGTCAGATTTGAATATTCATGTTCAGAGTGTTATTCAAATTATGATATTGTACACATATCCACTCGTAAGCTTTCCACCTACTGCCCCATTGGCCACTAGGCAGCATCCAGCCACTTTGTTCTCTTCCCTCCTCTCGGCAGAGAAGAGCATACGACACTTTGATCACGCATTTCACTAAGGAGCGGGACATGCATGCAGAGGATTCGCACTTCTTCAGACCTCACAAAGCAGACGAATCGAGCAGAGCTCACATGAAAACAAGGTCTCTAGTGCACACTTAATGTGCCACGCGAAACCATTATTCTCAGATCGCTCCCACTGGTGGCAGCAACAGTATAGTGCCTGTAACATGTCTCCAACTGGTGTACTTACCGCATCCTCAAATGTGGTACCTAGATTTTTGCCAGACGACGTCAGGAAGTGTCACGTCACATTGGGACCGCTTTCGACGCAGGTGGAAGGGGACGGTAAACGCACAGGACAAAGATGCGTTCCAGGCATCGTGGCGGCGGAAAAGATGGGGGGCGCGCTCACCTGCAGCACTGGCGTCACCTCCGAGATGGAGAAGTGGCGTCCCTCCGGGGGCTCCTCGTGGCACAGGTATGAGGCCAGCAGGGCAAACGCCTTGCCCACCTCGCGTGCCTCCCCCTGCAGCGAGGTCGTCAGCAGGTGCGCCTGGTAGCCAAGCTGGCGCGCCGTGGCGCAAACCGCCCGTGCCGCCACCTGCGAGGATGCCCTTCATTCAGTTAACTCGGGCACACAAAATATAGTAAGGGTGCAGGCGAGCTAATGAATATTAGCCACATCGAATTAACCTGAGACTGAGGTATACAAGAAAAACATCAGGGACGTTGTCCTGTCCATTTTTTGACCCTTCAACATTTAGATGCTTCTCTTCTACCACAGTTTCGGGTTAATTGAGCCAGATGCAAGTTACTTAAAAAGGAGATGGATCCATAGCCGCATGGTTAGCCTGTGTCCATTAAAATGGGGCATCTGAGGCATATTGCCGCATGCAGGGCCGAGAAAGCAACGCTCGGTTACGGACTTCTAGAAGGTTCCCGTGTATTCTTGATCCGGATGTAACTTCTATCATTTATTCCTGCTTTCTTGTTCTGGAAAGTGTGCGTTCATTCTCGCCCCGAGCGTGCGACACTCGAGCATTCTTTGTCAAATTTTCGAGATTGTGACGAACTCTAGATAAGCGGCCACCCGCGACCTTGTCAAGTCAGTCTTGCTCCAGCGCTCGATCCTGCTGTTTCGCCGACATCGATGCCTGCGATGCAAACTTACTTTTATTTTGTTTTGGGCACAAGTTCGCCGCACTAAACGTTTAGTTTCTTCAGTTATTCTTCGCTTCATCATTTGTCATTCATGACAATTGACCGAACAATACGAGTTATTAGGGAAGAAGGCAAATTCTACAAGACTAAGGAAAAACAATGACAGTTCTATAATGATAGGAGCCATACCAACTTCAGTAAACCAAGGGGATGGTAATGAGAGTGATTTCGATTTAAGAAAGCAAAGGGTAGTGTTTTAGAGCTTGACTAAAATTATGTGGACATCAAAGATTGTTAGACAGGGGGTTCCGGGTTTCTTTACCACAGAATTGAATTTGTCTTTTCCCGTACACGTTATAGCATTGTGGCAGATTAAAATGGCAGGATAAATTTTCTCTAGTTAGACGGTCACTTTCAAGAAGTACCGTTATTGGAAAGGGGTTGTCGACGGTTACAATTCTTCAAAACAGTGCAGCCATTAAACGCAAACGACCGAGGACCGCGAGCGCGCGAGATGTCGCACGTTGCTGGTGAATCGCAAGCTAAGCCACCTATGCTGAAAGACTTGGGCAATCTCTCGAAGATGCCGACAGTCCCTGTGAATCTAGCAATCGGAGAATGCTGCATTCCTTTTGCGACTAGCCACGGCCATTTCTCGATGGAGCAACACCCCATTTTTGGTTATCGTGAAGTCCACTTGCCCTAGCGGCCACAAGCTCCATCCATCGGCCAAACTCTTTCAAAACAGATGGACATACTTTTTACCCGTGCATTTTGGACGCTGCAAACATTTGATCAAATTGTGCCTTTTAGAAAATCAGAAGTCAAGGTTAAACATCTGTAACGTTGCCCGAGTGAAAGAAAATAATAGATGTGCAACGTGTGCTCCCACTCAAACAGGTTCCGACATCAATGTATACTAATAAACTAGATATGAAACACAGGCAGCATTTCTAAATAAATTAATAAATGGGAACCTCAACAAATCTGTAGACGACTAAATACCTTCGCATAACAATACCAATAGGTACACTGAATTTGCACTGTCATGTAAATGGCATTGTTCAAAGGGCTAGGGAGACTTCCGACATGTACCTACACAAAAATTTTCCGATAGTGAAACAAAACAATATAACTTGTACGGCATATCAGTGGCGTTACTAGGGTCAGAGGCACCCGGGGTAGCCCGCTGCGATACCCCAACCCCACTCTCGTGACCCACCGCGACATCCCCCTGCACGCTGCACCTGGGACAATCTGCACCCCCCGGCCCCCCCACCCCCTTGTGACGCCACTGTGGCATATGCATATGCTGGAATAGCGCTAATACAATCTAGTATCCACAAAAGCAGGGAACCAACCGGATGTATGCAACACCTTGCTGGGTTATTTTTATGCAATGAATTTAAATTTAATATTTCTTGATCAGGCTGACTCGCAGAAGCTGAAAGCCAACCAATGAACATTAGAGTAAAAATAAACAAATTGCATCTGCATTCTTTCATTAAAATGTTAACGCTAATATAGTGAAAGATATAAATAGAATTTGCATGCCTGGTTTGTCTACATTGAACCATACAAGGGCTATTAGCAACGAGATGTTTTTGGTGGTGCCACCTCGCGGGTGCCCTCCTGTGACGGAGCTGGTTGGATGAGAGCAGACAACGAGCCATGCCAAAGCACGAAGCAGCTATGTTAGTTTGCATCCTTGCCAATTGTAGTATGACAGTTTGTATGATGGTGTATGACGGTTTTGTGTGTGATCTTCCAAATGAAGCAATGCCTTGGGGTTACCTTTCATATTAAAGTCTTTTAAAAGTTAAAAAACAAGCCTGGAGCTTCACATTACAGCATGCAAGGCGTGCGTCAGGGCTATTCATAACCTCTCTGATTCTTGTTTTTTCGGATCTGTGGAGGCAGTTGTAAAAAAAAGTTTTGCATTCACCAGATTTAATGACTTGCTGTCTTCTTAGCTGTGCATGCACACACCGTTGTATTGAAAAGCATCTCACATTTGTTTTAGCTACATTAAACTTGCCGATACCGATGTTTCTATCCAAGTGTGATGCTCGTCAGCCACTGATGCTTAGCTCCTCACGCATTGAATATGTGGCGAAGAAGTTTGTCATAGTGTGACTTCTGCTCGAAAGAAAAGCAGAAATTTTCACATATTCCTAAATTGTCAGACATGGCCTGGAAAATTCCGGCGATTGACTAATTTGTTCTATCAAAAGTTTACTAATAATTGTTCACAAATATAAAGTCGCCCACTGAAAAGCGCATTATGCATTATGCACATTTGGGTTCCCAAAAATTAAAGATACAAATGATAGTAGTTCATAGCATGTGTATACCTCATTTTTTAGGACGCCGAAGTGTCGCCAACTTATTAGATTTAAAGGGGCCCTGCAATTTTATTTTTGTGTCTACCTTTTTTGCAGTTTTCACGTCTCTTGTGGTTCGGGCAACCCAGTGGGCACAGAGAGAGTAACTAAATATCAGTGCGTCATATTTTAATTGGACGACGCGAAAACCGTCCTCCTATTGAAGCGCCCCATGGTGTTAAACGTGCGCCGCATGAGGCAAAATCATGACGTTGCTGGTCCTGGTCACCCGAGGAGAGAAAGCTGCCCCATTCCCGGGCAGCTCTCTCTCTCTCCTCAGCCTCACCTCCTTTCCCCGCCTTCCCCTTCCTCCCCACATCACTCAGTTGCTGCAGTCCGCGGACGCGGGAAAAGGGGGGGGCAGAGGATCAAGGACGTCATGAAGGTTATTTTTTGCTTGTTTTTGTAATTTTAATATGCCCATAACTTTTAAAAGAAAGCGAATTTTGAGAAAAGAAAAAGTTCACTAAGTTACTACATTCAGTGCACTCAGGTTCAGTGCAAATTAAAAAACAGTAAAAGAGTCGTTGCAGGGCCCCTTTCAGACTTCGATCGCAAGGGGGTCTCGCACGTTTTGCGTTGACCGAATGAATAAGCAGGGATTTAATTTTATTGACTCAGGAAGTCAGTCACCGCTTCCTCTTGCCAGTTATTTTGAGGAAATGTTTGTTTACTGCTTCACAAAATTCAAAAAGGAATAAACTTGGAAAGAAACTAATAAAAGACCAGCACTCGCAGAACAGATTGGAACCAACAGGATACACGAAGTTACTTCCACTGAAGTGTTTACTACACATGCAAGAGATTCTCGAATTTCACTTTCCTGTTTTCAATTTGATGAGACATTCCTTTCTTAGTTCTATTTTCGTCTGAATCACAATAAAAAAAAATACACCCTATTCGTCGTGGTAGGCGTTGTAGTGGGATAAAGAACTGGATATTCTATTTTCATCATTCAGCTTTTTATACTGGAATGACAACAGCACACCACCATTCCAGCACTTCGACTCCTCAGCGCCAAAAGTGTTTGTTAGCACGACTAAGCGTGCCATGATTTCAAGCTTTGGTAAAATGTCCTACTACAAATATCACTTTACCAAATAAATACAATGCATGAAACAGGCTTTGCCACGTGTTACCCAAACAGCATATGGAGCAAGCCAACGAGCCAAGAGATCCAAGATCTGCGCAGTCTGTCTCGGTCTGTCTTACCCGTGATGTCACAAATGACGATAATGATATGTAGAGAAGTGCCCCCTGTGGTTCGCTCACGCTGCTAATAAAACGATACAAGCTTAACCATGACACCCCTCAAATTTTTTTGTTTTCTGCCAGGCGATTTATTATGGTGTCAAAAGACTACCTAATCAATAGGTATTTTACTACAGCATCACATATATTTTTAGTAAAGTTAAAAAAATGCAACCGCTCGAGACTGTAACCGAAACTGGACTGGGGAGGAAGAAGGAATATAGGGGAGGAGAAAGTTACCGGAAGTCACATGGCCGTGCCACTTTTCTGGTTTCAACCAACATGTTTGCAGCTTTATAGAAGCCACAAAAACTGCGTATCATTTTTGTTTTTCTATTTTTAATATTGAGTGTGTGCTTTTGATGACCCACGACTTGGACTAGCTTTCGTGGATGTGTCTAAACCATAGAAAACAGCACGTGACCACGAAGAGGACAGTGAGTGCGACTCAAACTGCCCGGTTCTCGATCGGCGGTTTTCAGGCAGAAATAAAACGAATTTCGAGCCGGAAATTGTGTTCTGGGTAATTGGGCTCTCATATGTCATATTAAAATAAAAACCTTGACAAGCATAAATACCCTGTCAGTGTCCCTTTAATTGTATAGCACAAGGGTGTGATACTTGGCTGATGGAGCTAAATACTAATCAATGCAAGTCAATGAGAGTGTCCTGCTCTAACAATGCATGCCCCTGCATATCACATTAACAATAGAATCCTAAATTCTGTTTCAGCTTACAAAAAGCTTGGCGTCTTATAACCTCTAATCTCTCCTAGAACAGACATGTAAAGTAGTTACATGCAATG